ACGCTGGGACTATTATGGGCTGTTACGCTGGGATTATTATAGGCTGTTACGCTGGGGTTATTATGGGCTGTTACGCTTGGATTATTATAGGCTGTTACGCTGGGATTATTATAGGCTGTTACGCTGGGATTATTATGGGCTGTTACGCTTGGATTATTATAGGCTGTTACGCTTGGATTATTATGGGCTGTTACGCTTGGATTATTATAGGCTGTTGCGCTGGGATTATTATGAGCTGTTACGCTGGGATTATTATAGGCTGTGACGCTGGGATTTTTATGGGCTGTTACGCTGGGATTATTATGGGCTGTTATGCTGGGATTATTATGGGCTGTTACACTGGGATTATTATAGGATGTTACACTTGGATTATTATGAGCTGTTACGCTGGGATTATTATGGGTTTTTACACTGGGATTATTATGAACTGTTACGCTGGGATTATTATGGGCTGTTACGCTTGGATTATTATGGGCTGTTACGCTTGGATTATTATGGGCTGTTATACTGGGATTATTATGGACTGTTACGCCGGGATTATTATGGGCTGTTATGCTGGGATTATTATGGGCTGTTACACTTGGATTATTATGGGCTGTTATGCTGGGATTATTATGATCTGTTACACTGGGATTATTATGGGCTGTTACGCTGGGATTATTATGAGCTGTTATGCTGGGATTATTATGGGAAGTTATGCTGGGATTATTATGGGCTGTTTATTATGGGCTGTTACACTAGGATTATTATGGGCTGTTGGGCTGCAGTTAAAAAAGAGTGAGTTATGGTTGCCATGGAAATCATTTGTCTTGGGGTGTTTTCACACTAGAGCTTTCTTGCAGACTCAGGACCACTTGCTCTGTGAGTTCGGAACATTTGTTCAAGTGTGAAAGCTGTTTTCGAGCCTGTGTGTAGAACTGAGAACTGATCTCTGGTCCTTCTGAAATCGGTACTCTAATGTTCTCTTCCAGTGGATTGCGTCACTTCCATTTTCAAGAGTCCTGATGGCAGAGAGGACTGCTGTGGACAGAAAGAGCTGCTCTTCACTGCTTGACTTTGTATCCGAGGAAAACAATAAACAGCAGCAAACAGATGAAGCTGCCGACCATTCTGCAAACCTGCATACAGAAAAGTGACGTGTAGAATTGCACAATCGTTCCACAGTTTTGATGGAATTCTTGTATGAGCCTAGAATCAGTCCTGGGTGTGAAAGGGTGAAAACGCCCTTTGTCACACAGATGTGAGTGTGCTGATTGGTTAATTAGTGTGATCAAAGTCTCAGCATGTAACTTTCTCCTACTTAACTCAGATAAAATAGAGGTTCTGCTTCTTGGTACAAAAGCTGTTAGAAACAAACTGTCTAATTTTGCACTTAAACTTAATAATTTCTTAGTTGCGTCAGGTAAAAAATCTTGGTGTCATGATAGATCCTGATCTGTCCTTCGACGCACATATAACTAATATTACTAGAACAGCCTTCCTGTATCTCCTCAATGTTGCTAAATTGAGAAATGCATTATCTCTACAGGATGCAGAAAAGTTATTCATGCATTTATTACTTCAAGGCTAGATTACTGTAATGCCCTGCTGGCTGGATGTCCCAGCAAAAGCCTTAACAAGCTTCAGCTAGTCCAGAACACTGCAGCCAGAGTCTCACAAGAACCAGAAAGTTTGACCATATCAGCCCAGTTTTAATCAAACCTGCACTGGTTACCAGTTAAATTTCGCATTGATTACAAAATTCTTTTACTGACCTATAAAGCTCTAAACGGACTCGCCCCTCAGTACCTGAGTGAACTTCTCTCCCACTATGAACCATCGCGCCTACTTAGATCACAAGGTGCTGCTCACTATGAGTACCTAGAATTAATAAAGATACATCAGGGGCGGAGCCTTCTCATACAAAGCCCCCCAGCTTTGGAATAATCTTCCGGTCAGTGTTTGGGACTCAGACACAGCCTCAGTCTTTAAGTCTAGGTTAAAAACCCACTTGTTTAGTCAAGCCTTTGGTAATTAGTTTTCCCTGTTAGATAAAAGGTGCAGATCTGGGGGTTCATGGTCGTAGAGTATTATGGTAAACTGGGAGTGTTGGTGCTGTCATCCCGCTGCCTCACACGTTCACTCAGGTTTGCTGACGGTGGAGCGTAGGGGCGCCGACATCTCAGGGAGCCTCATTTCTCTGTTACCTTTCTGGTTTCTCCCTTTTTAGTTAGGCTGTAATATCTAGACCTGCCGGAGTCTCTGCTGCTCTGCTAACACTGTAATCTGTGATCAGTCACTCTTTACAGAACTGACTCTCTGTGTGTTTGCTTTTCTTTGCCGAGTTGAACGGCTGCCCATCCTGTGCGTCTGATGCTGTTGCTTCTTCTGCCTTGATTGGGTGCCACTGCTTGCCAGCCTTCTGGACTGGCTTGACCACCATTGAGCTTCATGCTGTACAACGCTGTACAAACCTCACCCTCATGAACTGACCCTCCCAATGCTGCTGCTGCTGCTGCATAAACTAAAACTAATCTAATTAACCATTGCTCCACCTGTTTTCCCGTTTTGTACTACAATACTTAATACTAACGCTGTTTGCTATCTGGTGTGGACCAGAGGAGGATGGGTTCCCCTTTTGAGTCTTGGTTCCTCTCAAGGTTTCTTCCTCTTGCTCTTAGGAAGTTTTTCCTTGCCACTGTCGCCACTGGCGATGCTCATGGGGGCTTGGACCTGGATTTTTCTGTATAGCTGCTTTGTGACAACACCTTGCGGTGTGGTATCTTGCGGTGTGGTATTAATTTTCAGTGTTGCATGTGGGAGTGAGTGGGTAACCAGCCCACTGCAGGCAGGAGTGGGACCAAACACGCATGAAGAGAAATCCTGCAAATTAATGAATAGCCTAAATGAAGTAGAATGTGCACTAAATCACATATAAAAACAACTTGAAATAACAGGAAAAAGGTTAAAATGAAGTTATTCTAAAGAGTTGCGAAGCAACCGATCACGTGAACAACACACGGGTTCTCGTAGCTGACGTCTGATTCATACATACTGCTTCTGCATGGCATGAGCAGCAGATAAAATGCAGCAGAGCGTCTCAGACGCCACACTGAATCGTTGCGGTATTAATAGAATCCTGCAAAGGCAGAATATGTGAATCAGGCATTACAGAGACAGAGCCTTCAGTCCGACGGCCACAGCTGCCCAGGAAAACACCAAAAATAACACCTTTGTGGTTTAATTCCCGCTCTGTGTTTAAATGGTGAATATATGCCATTTGGTAAAGTTACTCACAGTGAGCCTATTTCAGCAGAGAGTGTTTGTGAATAAACTGTGTCAGATATTAGAGTCAGTTCACCTTGACAGAACGGCGGGTGGGAGTGGGACTTAACGTTTCAGTTGCGCGTGGCAGCAAGACTTAGATTCCGATTCTCATTTGATTTTCCAATAAAAGCTGCTTTTAAAGTTCTTTGATTGTCTTTGTGTATCTTTCTGACTTTTTTGTCCTTTTAGTGAAACATGGTCACAATCCCTAAACTCACTTCAGATTAGACCAGGAATTGTAATGAAAGATTGCTGCACTAATTAGCATGGTGCTAACTGCACATCTAAATCATCTCACTCTCTCCTCAAGCCATGCTAGTGAAGCTGGCCTGAGGCTGCACCATTCAATGCTGACCCTACACTAGAAAAAAGTCTGACACTCTGACATCTACAGACAATCACAGAGTTTTTAGTCACAGACTGTGATTTTCAGAATATGGGGATCTGGCAGTGTCACTATTTGCAAGACTGCAACTAGATTTTTTTAATTATTACCCATCATGCTCCTGGTGGGAAGTTTTAAGAGAAGAAACCCTTGTCCTTCTCCACTCTGTACTGGTCCTAATGGAAAGACACGTTGGCTGGGCGTGTAAAGCTCTGGGGCTCAGTTCACTGTAGAATTGTATATTCTGACGTCACCACCCAGTGGAGCAGATTTGCCTTTATTACAGAAATCATGCATGTATTTACTCCGTTGCTCTCTCTCTCTCTTTCTCTCTCTCTCTCTCTCTCTCTCCCGCTCCACAGCATATATCGGTCCCCTGGCTTAATAAGATCAGCACCCCACTGCTGGTCCCCCCCTCAGACCACCTGGATTACTGTCCTGCGTACAAACTCAAACTAGTTTAAATCTACTCAAACAGATTTTAAATACAGAGACTTTTATTTCAGAAACTAAACAAAGACAAATATTACAAACAACTGAGAGAAAAAATAATGACTAGGCCTGATATAAGATGATTTAATATTGTTTTAGATTAAAATTATTTACTAATTTATAATGTAAAACTAAAGAATTGAAGGAAAATTGGACTGTTAGTGGAAAATGAATGATGATAAGTGAAATTTTGTCTACTACTCTGTTTAAACACCAGTGGGCCGCCCGGAAAACGTTGAGCAAAGTGCCAGTGGACCACCAGCTTCGCCATCAGCGGACCGACGGTGGCCCACTATCCTCTTACTGTCAGGGTGTTAAAAAGCCTGAATGATGGGAACGGATCAGCGAATCTACAGTGATGGAAACTAAAGTCTCATTTTTATTCATATTTTTAAGCGTGTGGTGTAAACTAACATCATCACGGCTTGATTTTTCAGGACTGTGCCTAAGAAGCTGCGTAAAAGCTTTTACGGCTTTTTTTTGTTTTATGCAATACTGCCAGATTATGAGACACATTAAACTTAAAATAAGACACTGTAGCACAGTTAGCGTGATCAGCCTGTAGTTAGCATTGATTCCAACTGTTTTTGAGCAGTTTGAGGAGCTTTAATGCGAGTAATTGTGTTTCTTTGTTCTACAGCCTTGATTAATTGAATCAAAATTGATTGAATGATCGAACTTGATTCACTGAATCAAACTTGATGAATCGGTTTAGCTCTGAACTCTCAGGCTTTTGATGAGCAATCAGCACAAATCTAATCACATGACATTCACCCCCTCAGTGTCACGTGACTCCTGATCACATGATAAGGCGGAAAGTTCAGAGTGTTTCTTCATTGCTGGTCGTGCAGGCTCGCGGGGGGCTGAGAGACTTTAACACAGTCTCGGTTTATTTTTTAGACGGTTTCTGGAGCGCGTGCGAGGATGCAGCGAGTACCTGTCCTAGCGCTCGTGCTCGCGCTGTGGAGCGGGGTCGCGCGCTCGGACACACCTGCAAATTGCACCTACGAGGAGCTGCTGGGCACGTGGAGCTTTCAGGTGTCCGATGTGGGGAAGGACAGAAACATAAACTGCTCGGCACCAGGTGCGCTCAGGGCTGGGTGGAAGAGCTGCAGCTCAGCTGATTTAAGTGTGATTAATTCTCTCGCTTTAGGCAATGCGGGGCGGTTAAAAGGCTTTTAAGATCTGTTTTAGTTTGTTTTAAAAACGTGTTTGTTTATATTTTTAGGAATATAACACAAAGTGCCTGTGCTCGAGATTCGCCAACCTTTTTTTGGAATTGTCCGTTCCACCTTAAATTGGGCGCCAGAATGTAACTCCTGCACCATTTAAGGTGGAACGGAGAATTCGAACAAGAAGCTGGTGAATATAAAACCAACTCGAATTGATCAATAAGTTTATCGATTTCGATAACAGTCCGATTCTGCATCCAATCGATCGATTTATTCGGCGTATAGTTTGTGAAATACTCCGTTTGGTGCACTTCAACTCCTTCGCTCTTCCTGCTTCAGCTGTTGTGCCGCCTGAGTGTCTGCTGACCTTGCACTGCATCATGGGAGTTGTAGTTTTCGCGACGCCCGCTCAGCGCTGAAAGCTGGAAACGGTTCACGGTCGAAACTACAATTCAAAGAAACTAGTTATAAAGGAGGAAAAGAGCACGAGCTGAGTCAGGGGTTCATGTAATCGGTCTTAAACACGACTTATTTTAAAATAGCTATTAATAATAACTATTTCGATTATTCAAACACTGGAACTTAAAATGAATTGAAGTGTTTTTGTAAAGTGGCTGAAAAAAAATTTACCCGAATAACTTCCGTGATCTTAGTCCATTTTTTCCAGTGTAAGTGACCAAATTCTCAGTATTACAGTAAGATTTGACATTTGATAAATATGCAGGTTTCGCTAGCTCATCTTTTTGTAATCTGATGTAGGACTAAAAAAAATTGGTGTGTGTTTTATGTAATGCACTTCCTGTGCAATGAAAACCTTTTAAAGTAAAGAAAATCAACAGTCAGTGTTTTTCTAACAAAACAAGCAGAATTTTTTTTTTTGTTTGTTTTTTTGGTTGTTATAAAATTGGTGAAGGTCGAGGAGAAACAGCACTCTGGCATATTAACCTTAGATCTATTGATGTGAATTTCCTTTATTTTCCAATTTGACCTCCAGGTCCGGTAGTGAAGACCATCACGGTGACCCTACAGAAGCTCTCTGTTGCCGTGGACGACCTCGGCCACACCGGCTTCTTCACGCTCATCTACAACCAGGGCTTTGAGGTGGTGCTGAACGACTACAAGTGGTTCGGCTTCTTCAAGGTCAGCGTTACTTTGTCACTGAGAGCTTCCGTTGTTTATTTGGGCATCAGGTGACTCTGATGGTCAGCTTTCGCTCTTTGCTCCATCAGTCTGGTCTTAAAGGAGAACCTTAAAGCAGAACAGGGGAACTCCAGTAGGTTCTCGTGTGAGACGTCTGAAATGAATCTTCTTCTGTTAAACGTGTGAGAGAGAGTTCATCCAGCTCAGTGATCTGAGGGCATCTGCTTTGCCTTGTTTGGTGTTTTTGTTCTGCTTTTCTCTGAAGTGACGTTACTAAGTTAAGATTAGAGACACGATTGAGAAATATTGATCTAACCACTTCCTGAAAAGCTCAGTCAGATTCACCCACTTTCACACCACAGCAGGAAAACCTTCTGCTCTTAAAACCACAGCGCAGCGCTCGGAGAGCTCGTCTGGCTCCAGACGTGGTCACTGTTAAAGCCGTTGCTGAGCTGTGCAGGTTGGGGAGGTTAGATGAGAAGGATAATCTAATGGTCGATAGTTTAAGCATATTTAATCATTATTAATTTGTTTATCTCCAGTACTCTCAGCAGGGCTCCAAAGTGACCAGTTACTGTGACCAGACGCTGCCCGGGTGGGTTCACGATGTTCTGGGGAATAACTGGGCGTGTTTTACGGGGAAGAAGGTCCAGCCCATTCCACCCAAATCTGCCCAAAGGCCCGCCCACACCCTCACACACAACCCGTAAGACTGCAGAATGTTGTTGTGTTGTTGTTGTGTTGTTATTACTGTTATCATTATTGTTATTAACATTAACAATAGTAGTAGTAATGGGGGTGTGTGTGTGTGTGTGTGTGTGTGTGTGTGTGTGTTGAAGGTTCCTGCAGATGTATAAGTACGATCTGGACTTTGTGGAGAGGATTAACTCTGTCCAGAAGTCGTGGAGAGCTGCAGCATACTGGGAGCATGAGACCTTCACCATCCAGCAGCTCATACAAAGAGCAGGAGGGCGATCGTCCCACGTCCCACAGTGAGTGTGTGTTTAAACAGTGAGTTGGTTAACTGTGGGGGGGGGACGTGCCGTGTTCAGAGTTAGATGTCTGAGGACGTTGTTGCCGCTTCCTGACAACACCCCAACCCCGCCCCCCCTCGCCCCAGCCCCGCCCCCCTCAGCCGATGATTACTAGCCGTTTCCTGTTTTTTGTCTTGCAGGCGTGTCCGACCCGCCCCTGTTACCGCGGAGATGCTGAAGATGGCGGCAGGTCTTCCAGAGCACTGGGACTGGAGAGACGTCAACGGGGTCAGTTATGTCAGTCCGGTCCGCAACCAAGGTGTGTGGATGTGGGTGTGGGAAAGGCTGGGTGGGTCAGTGTGGTATGATTTTCTCTCCAGTATAAATAAAACTGACTGAAGCAGAGAACATCAGCTAGAACACAGAACATGGTTTTCAAAGAGATGCGCGATGCAGCCAGTGATGTCCTGACTGTACCTCACCCATCTCAGTACAGTCATACTTTAATGAACTTAACTGGGAGGTTAGCACTGTTGCCTGTTGCTCTTTTGGATCTTCTGGTTCATCTGGCTGCTGACTGGATCTCAAGGCTGAGGATAAGAGTGAGTGAAGCAGCAGGGCTTAAAGAGCCGTAGCCTGAATTTTTCTTTGAATTTCATTCTCTTGTTCACCTGATATCCCTTTCTAGCGTTTGTATATTAAAGTACCCAAAGTTCACCTTTGTTTCATGTGAAATATGAAGGACAAATATGTATTCTGAGCACATTGAAGCTTCAAGAAGTTGTGTCTCCAGAGTGTTTTAATAAGTCTTTTTCTGTATTAATGCTGTTTTCTGGAGTAAATATTTGTCTGCATGTCTCTGCAGCGTCGTGTGGAAGCTGCTACTCGTTCGCCTCGATGGGGATGCTGGAGGCCAGAATCAGAATCTTAACCAACAACTCAGACTCCCCTGTGTTCAGCCCTCAGCAGGTCGTCTCCTGCTCCCAGTATTCCCAAGGTACTCCGTCATTACGCTGTGGAACCAGAAACAGTCTCTGCCCGTCTCGCTGTGACTCTGCATCTCACGCTGTACTCACCTTACTGACGCTGTGCATCTCGCTATGATGCTGCGCTCGTCTCACTGACACTGTACGTCTCAGTGACGCTGCGCTCGTCTCACTGACGCTGTACATCTCTCTATGATGCGTTCGTCTCACCGACACGTCTCTCGCTGCACTCGTCTGACTGTGACGCTGTACATCTCGCCGTGACTCTGCGCTCGTCTCACTGTGACACCGTATGTCTCAGTAATGCTGCACTCGTTACGCTGTGACACTGTACATCATGCTGTGACGCTGTGCTCATCTCACACACTGTACATTTCAGTCTCACTGTAAAGCTGCACTTCTCACTTGACGCTTCACTCATCTCACTGACACTGTAATCTGACTATGTCTCACTGTGACACTGTACAGAACACCTTTTTGCCACTTAAAGGTTTTGGCTTCTTTTGTTTTTGTAATAATTTCCAACTCCAATACAGTTGGATCATTACCTTCTGGTTGGTTTGGTTGATTTATTTTTGCACCACTTACTGTGGTGGATTTCTGATGTTCGTATTTTATTTCTCCAGGTTGTGACGGCGGTTTTCCGTACCTGATCGGTAAATATATCCAGGATTTCGGAATCGTGGAGGAGAAGTGTTTTCCGTACACAGCTAGAGATTCCCCGTGCAAGGTTCCGGCCGAGTGCGCGCGTTACTACACCTCCGACTACCACTACGTGGGCGGGTTTTATGGGGGCTGCAGCGAGACGGCGATGATGCTGGAGCTGGTGAGGGATGGCCCCCTGGGAGTGGCTTTGGAGGTCTACCCTGACTTCATGCACTATAAGGAGGGGATTTATCACCACACGGGCCTGCGCGACACAGTCAACCCCTTCGAGGTCACCAACCACGCCGTGCTGCTGGTGGGCTATGGCCGCTGCCACAAAACCGGAGAGAAGTACTGGATTGTGAAGAACAGCTGGGGGTCCGGGTGGGGCGAGAACGGCTACTTCCGAATCCGCCGCGGGACGGACGAGTGCGCCATCGAGAGCATCGCCGTAGCCGCCACGCCCGTCGCTCAGCTGTGAGGAGATTAGATCACATGCATCTTCGTGGATGCCCATTGATTTTCTAAATGATGCTGCAAGTGAGTTTAATCAATAGTTCAGTGAAAAAATCAGATTCCCCAGTCAAATGTAGTCGATCAGCCAAGTCATGTTTGCTTCCTTGACGTCCATCTTCTAATCGGTGAGTGTTTGGAGGCTGATCGGCTGCATTTGGGGAAGGTGGGTAATTGGTGATTTTTGGCTGAACTGTCGCTTTACGTGTGCTCGTGCTGCTTTGTGCCTGTGTGAGTTTAGTCTGTCTTAAGCAGTTTTAAGGGAAAAGTGGCCACTTCGGCGTTTTAATGTGAATTTTTTTTCTTCTAAAAGACTCCTTAGGTGACAAGATAAAGGCCGTGACTCGTTCACACACAGAATATTAAGGTAACGCAGTTGCTGAGGGGTGCACAGGTGGTCTTTCTGAATTTTTTTTTAAAGTCTGTTAGTGAGTTTAATCTCAAATCCATCAGGTTTTTTCGTGATAAACATCAGAATCATGATTTTTTTTTTTTTCTTTGCGCTGCTGTGCGGCCTTTCATAAAGAGGTCAGGTCTGATTTTTAAGGGATTATTAGTTCTGCCAAGGGTTTTGGAAAGGGATTATTTTCCATTAGCATATGTGCTAGTGTCCACCAGGGGTCAGCTATGGCCTTCTCCCAGGACCCAAACACTTCAGTTCACTGGGTAGGCCTTGTTCCCCTCTGCTGGCTGTAGCTTAAAAAAAAAGGGATGTTCTGTTAATGTCTGTAGCATCAGATAAATCACAGGTTTTAATCAGTGTTTTGGTGTGGGTTGTTTTGTTTTTTTTTTTTTTTTGTTTGCTAATCTTTCACTCCTTTCACGGAGACCTGGCTTCGTCTCGCTGTGACCGTAAAGTCTCTCAGCATTTTTATTTGACAGAACACTTCTAGGGACTGTCCAATTTGACACATTTTGTAGTTTTATGTAATTTTCATGTCCAATAAAAGCTGCTTTTAAAGTTTCTTAATTGTCTTTGTGGATGTTTTGTCTCTTGTCCTTTTACTGAAATGTAGGTTACAGTTTCTACTTATATCAGATTAGAGTTGGAGCTACGAGGATAAAGAAGCTAACAAGTACTGTAAGCTTATACCCCTCCAATTAGCGTAGTGCTAACGGCATGCTTCAAAGCGTGTGGAGGTGTTCCGTGTCTCGAAGACTTTGATTATGAGGTTTCTGAGGCTGTGACTCACTGCTATCTGTGAACATGGACTCTAGGGTTAGGGTTCAATAGCATAGCTATTGCTCTGTGACTTTGTCTAATTCGGGATCAATACTGGTCTCTCAAACTAAATTATTTATTGATCAGTACATTAGTCTTTCTGAATGAAAATTTGGGCTGTTATTGGATTTTGCTAAGCTAATGTGCTCAAAGCTTTAGATTAGACAGATACACACTGTGAAAAGAAACCAAACAGTCGCTGCACTTAAACATCAACAGTCCAAGTTAAAAGAAGCTCCGTTTGATGGAAAAGTGCTCAACACTGGAAACAAAACATAAAAGCGTGAGGTCAGTTTGATTAGGGCTTTTATTTTGAAAGAATAGACATGCAAACTGTTTGGATTGTTTTAAAAAATGCTCAAGCTAGTTTGTGTTGGTTTTATAATTGTTAGTTTTACATTTTTTAATATAAACTGCAGGGTTTTAGCTTCAGTGTTTTGTTTCAATGGTCACTCTGATATTTAATTATTAAAGCGTTTATACAAATAAAGCTATAAAAAGTGCTGTAATATGTAATATTCTTAAAGCTGTAATTTAGTAGTTGGTGTGTTAGAGACATCAGAAACTGATAAAATAATAAAATATACCAACATTTAACAGATCATTTAATGTTTTAGTAACAATTGCAGTAAAATATTTTCAGGTAATTGGAACTTGAACTACAGATTTTATAAAGATTCTATGCATTTATGTATTTATTTATTTGTGTTTGCTCCCTAATAAAACCACTTTGTGCTCTGATTTATTCGGTATTCTGAGGCCTCATGGGACCTTGGGTCAAATGTGGTCAGAAACATGTGACTTTTTGACCTCAGTCTCATGCCTCTCTTGCTAGTCACAAGTTTTTAGCTCCACCTTCCTCCTCCTCCTCCTCTTCCTCCTCACCCTTTTCCTCTTCCCTCCTCCTCCTCCCATCCTGAACGAGTAGGAGGGCATTCCAGACACAATTCTCTCTCACTCCTTCATTCACTTCTGGACATACTGTGCGGCCTGAAGCACCACGGCGGTATTCAGCAGCGTCCACCAGCGTCCAGCGGCATCTATCAGCATTCACCAGACTCCATCAGTGTACAGCCGTGCCAAGCAGCGTCCACCAGCATCTACCAGTGCCTGGCAGCGTCCACCAGCGTCAATCAGCTTCTATCAGCGTCCAGCAGCATCTAACTTTGTCCACCACCATCCACCAGCATCTGACAGTGTCCACCAAAATCAGTCAGCATCTGTCAGTGGCAACCAGCGTCTGTCAGTGTCCAGCAGTGTCCATCATGCACCAAAAACACCAACACCACCAGCAGCCACAGCAGAAAGAACACTTGTATAAAATCCTGGTAATTGGTGACCTTGGGGTGGGAAAGAGCAGCATCATCAAACGCTATGTCCACCACAACTTCTCCCCGAACTACAGAGCCACGATTGGAGTGGACTTTGCCCTCAAGGTGCTAAACCTGGAGCAGGAGACCATCCGACTCCAGCTGTGGGACATTGCAGGTAAAAACACCCCTCAGAAACCAGCACTGATGACCACAGACACTTCAGACTGTAAAGCATACTGTAAACAGTACAGACATTACTGACCGTCCCAGATATTTCAGACTGTAGAACAAAACTAAACAGTACCGACATTACTGACCGTCTCAGATACTTTAGACTGTAGAACGTACCGTAAACAGTACAGACATTACTGACCGTCGCAGATACTTCAGACTGTAGAACGTACCGTAAACAGTACAGACATTACTGACCGTCGCAGATACTTCAGACTGTAGAACAAACTGTAAACAGTACAGACATTACTGACCGTCGCAGATACTTCAGACTGTAGAACGTACTGTAAACAGTACAGACATTACTGACCGTCTCAGATACTTCAGACTGTAGAAATTACAGTAACAACAGAACAGACATTACTGACCATTTCAGCTACTTCAGACTGTAGAACATACTGTAAACAATACAGACACTACTGACCGTCTCAGATACTTCAGGTTGCAGAACATACTGTAAACAGTACAGACATTACAGACCATCTCAGATACTTTATACTGTAGAACATACTGTAAACAGTACAGACATTACAGACCGTCTCAGATGCTTTATACTGTAGAACATACTGTAAACAGTACAGACATTACTTAGCATCTGACTCTGGCACTGAGGGCTATAGCACATGACAGATGGTCTCTTTGACTTAAAATAGTTTTAAGGAAGCTTTATTTACTTTGATCTGCTGGAAGTGGACAGATAACCAGTGCTTGTCTCAGGATTGTTCTGCTATTGATATGGATTCATGCAATCTGACCACAAAATGGCCAGAACTCATTCTGTTCAGATCTGGTGATCTTAACTAAAGTGTAGTGCAGAAAAATATACATGTGTTTAATGAATATTTATCAGAGACTTTATAGCAGGATGGTGTAAATAACTTTCAGTGTTTGTTAGTGTTTGGCAATGAAGGGTAAACTTGGTCTTTGGAGGATGTGGCTGTGTTAATAACTTCAACACTCAGCTACTTGTATATCAGCAACAATCCTTGTCTGCCTGTTTTCTCAGTGGAATGCTCAATTACTTGGGTTCTAATTAAAATTCTGAGCTGCTTGTGTACTGAATAGTGTATTTAAATTAAAATAATGTTCTATGAATCTTGAGCACTGAGGGAGTTGTTCTGAATCTAGAACACTGAGCTGCTTGTGTATATTGGAACAAAACCTGTGTCTCCTCAAAGTCGCTGGACGTCTGGAATCCTCACATGAGAGTTCTTTGAGTCTCTCTGTCGCTCGCAGGCGGCCGAGCCTCACACAGTCTGCCTGAGAGAGGTCATGTGTCTCTCGCTCATGTGAGGGAGATTTCCACGGAGGGAGAGAGAGAGCGAAAGAGAGTGAGAGAGAGGGAGAGAGAGGGAGGGAGGGAGAGAGGGAGAGAGAGTGAGAGAGAGGGAGGGAGGGAGGGAGAGAGAGAGAAAGAAAGCAGGTTAGTCTGTGTGAACAAAAAAATAAATGGAGCTGCAAAACGAGACACAAATCACACTGAATTAAAGAACCTGAAAAACATCTGATTATAGTTCATCTGAATCTTCGGATAATAATCTAGCTCCTCCTCCTCCTCTGTGGCATGGTTCATGTGTTCTCCTGTAAATATATATATATATTCTTTCAGAATATTATTCAGGAAAGATTTCATATTCTCTTTTTGAATTATCTAGAGATAGAGGGTTAGCCTTTTAACCAATCAGGGCCAAGCTTCTGACCAATCCGACAGCTTTCTGACCAGTCAGAGACTCTGACCCATCAGGGCGAAGCTTCTGAGCAGTCACGCAACTTGCTGACCAGTCAGAGACAGCCTTCTGACCAATCAGGGACAGCCTTCTGACGAATCAGAGATGGCCTTCTGATCAGTCAGAGACAGTAGATATGTGTTATTATGAAAGACACGAAAGTAAATGTTCACCCCACATATTCCACAATGTAAACAATAATATTGTTATATTTTCATAATTTTTTGTGCAGAGCTGATATCAGTGTAGACCATCTCAGGGTCACTGAATGACCTCATTACACACAGTGATAAATAATGTGACTGAGACTTTATCATCCTTTGTCACAGATTTGTAGAGTAATATATGAACTTTATCCATCGGTGTGGCTCTATCAGCGGTTTTTGCATATTTTTATGGCTAATTCTGTTTGTGTTTTTCTTTTTTTGGCGGTTCCTCAATTCCTCATTAACTCATGAGTGAGATCCGCAGAGTGAGGCTGATCTAAATTACAGCTTAGAGCTCAAAGAACAGAAGTTGGCTGAGTTCAAGGTACAGCTCTTTTTTACAAAGCAGGAGCCTTGTGCTTCTCTTCTTCCTGGAAATGTGCTGCATGAATAAGATTCTCAAACCTATAGAAGATCATGTGAATAAAAAACAGAGCAAAGAGCTTTTCTTCTTCCTCACCAAAGGGCACCAAGCAACAGGACATACAGGACATACAGACAGGAAGCCAGAGGAGTCCTCACGATCAGTAGGGTCAGTGGTTCCTCAGACTCAATAGGGTCAGTGGTTCCTCAGACTCAGTAGGGTCAGTGGTTCCTCAGACTCAGTAGGGTCAGTGGTTCCTCAGACTCAATAGGGTCATTGGTTCTTCAGACTCAATAGGGTCAGTGGTTCAGTAGGTCAATTGTTCCTCAAACTCAGTAGGGTCAATGTTTCTTTAGACTCAGTAGGGCCAACGGCACATCAGATTGAGGAGGGTCAGTGGTTCCTCTGATTCACCTGGGTCAATGGTTCACCAGACTCGGTAGGGTCAAATGTTCATTAGACTCAGTAGGGTCAGTGGTTTCTCAGAATCTGTAGGGTCAATGGTTTCTCTGATTCACGTGGGTCAGTGGTTCCTCAGACTCAGTAGGGTCAATGGTTCCTCAGATTCAATTGGGTCAGTGATTCCTCATACTCAGTAGGTTTAATGGTCCATCAATGTTGGTTGTCACTGTTGGGTTCTACTGAGATTTAATAGTACAGATTAATTCAGGCAGACCTGCAGACAGACTTGCAATCGTGAAGTTTTTGCATGAACACAGACATTATGTGTTGGTAATCCTCTGCTAATCTTCTTCACGAGACCCACCTCCAGGACTCCTATTTACAAATATGTACGTAAAGTAACCATGAAAGACATTTTTAATGTTGAAGTTTTCTTCACAACAACCTATTAGCACACAGATAAATAACTTAAAGCCCTGAAAATAAGTATCAGACATTTTTGCATTAATGTGTAAATCACTTTAACATCACGTGTTTCAAACATCTTTTGACATGATGTACATTTTAGTCTCGCAACATTCACTCAACCCTTTAAGCTGAACACATTCCCCCCTTTAGAAACATCTGGAATGTTCAGCAGGATCTGAATCTTCTGAAGAAACATGTCAAGAGAGAAATATCAATTAATTAGTTATATGGGTGATTCCAATCGTATGATTGCTGCCTTTGACGTACAGGAAAAATGTACAATTCTGGACATTGGGACGTGAACTGATTGTCCTGGGAAAACCGGCACTTATGAGATTAGGGAAAAGCTACTTGAAACATTTTTAACATTTCTAAAGTTTTAATGAGGTGGCAGTTTCATTATTCTGTTATTAATATCATTAGGCTATTAGTCTAATCACCGGGCAAGCCTCCATCTTCCAATCAACTGAATAAACTCTGTGCAGACACAGTTTGACGAGGACATTCCATTGAGAGAAGCTGCTCCATTAAAGCTACACTGGACGTGATTTTCATTATTAATTACAGCTGGTAATTCCAGTCCTCTGAGACAGTTCAGAGTTGAGCTCAATTTACCCTCTGAATGGGTAGTCAAGGGCAATTTTTGTGGTTCAGGTCTGCTGGGAACTCCAGTAGAGCATCTATGGACCTGATCACGGCGCCTGAGGGCAGAATTCAACCTCTACAGTTAAACTTAACAGTAATTAATTGACCTTTAAAGCGATAGTCTGGTCAGAGTTACAGAGTTTTCCCCTCATGCTAAGTTGATGTTTGGAGTCTGACGATTGCTTCTTTATTTTTAGCACTGCAAGCTTCAGTCATCACATACTGGCCTCAACTGTGTTGGCTTCCAATTCACCGGCTTCTTATCAGAAATTTCTGTACCACCTTAAAGGGTGCAGTTGTTATGGAAGTTGTAGAACGGAAAATTTGAATGAGTAGCAGGTGAACAGGAAGCCAACTTCAGCTTCTCGCCTCAGACCGTGTGGAGTTGTTGAGTAATATTTATAGCTGTGTTCAGCCTGCAGGTAAATCAGATTTATCTCTCAGATCAGACCTTTTGAGTCGGCTGTCCGCTCTGTTATTTGCGAGTGATCAGATCGTCTGACGCTGCTCACCAGCCTTCTGGACCGGTTTGACCACAATGGAGCTTCTCGCTGTACAATGCTGTGCAAACCTCACCTGCATGAACTGACCCTTCTGATGCTGCTGCTGTTGCACAGACTCAATCTAATTAACCATTGCTCCACCTGTTTTTCCCCGTTGCTTTACGACAACACCTGTTGTAAAAAGCGCTATATATATAAAGTTTGACTTGATTTAACTTGATTTGTGTGTCCATACATCACCAGTCTATCTGCATGGGTTGCCGTGGTAACAGCGTAGGCGTCAGTAGATACGTAGCTACGCTGGTGACGTGGATTTCAAACGGAGATGCAGGAGAGATTGAGGAGCATCATCTCGCCCTCCAAACTCTTCAGAACTCTCTTCATTATCATGAATCTTTGGAGCTCTTCTTGAATCCCAGCACTTCATCACTCTGGATTGGACATTGTCATTGTTTGAAATCCGATTTGAGCATCCAGAGCGTCCAGACTGAGAAAAATCTGATTGGAGTTGCATTTCAGACTGCCTGCAAATGTGGTTTAGATCCGATTTGCAAAAAATCAGATTTCATGTGTTTTTTGCTGTCCAGAATATCACAAATCAATCTAGATACAATCTGGATATGATAAAAATCAGATTTGGACTGCAGTCTGAACAAGGCGAGCAAGTTGGCTTCTGACTCTATGACTCACTGTTATCTATAAACATGGACAAAAGTACAGACAATTAAGGCTTGCTGGCTGTAACTGTCTAGCTATGCAATGTTCTTTTGATGTGTGGGAAATGACATGGCTAAAACCAGTTTTGGTTATCTTGATCTGCATATGGATGATGTTGATAGTAGAAAATGTTTAAAAAAAAGAGACCTTTTTCTAAATTGGCCTCCATACATTTAGTAGAAAATGAAAGGCCTCCAGAAAGTCCAGAATACTGAGACGTTCTGACATTCCTGTTCCTCCCTGCAGGTCAGGAACGTTTCGGGAACATGACCCGCGTATATTACCGCGAGGCCATGGGTGCCTTCATCGTGTTTGACGTGACGCGTCCGTCCACTTTTGAGGCGGTGACGAAGTGGAAGGAGGACTTGGACGCTAAGCTCAGCCAGTCCAGCGGGAAGCAGGTGGCCGCCGTGCTCCTCGCCAACAAGTGTGACCAGGGCAGGGATGTTCTCACCAATAACGCCATCAAGATGGAACAGTTCTGCCAGGAGAACGGGTTCCTCGGTTGGTTCGAAACATCTGCAAAGGTAAATTACAGCATTGTCTCCAAGGAATGTCGATCAGGCAGTGGAGAAAAGGCATTCAACACCGTTAAAGGAGGGGACACAGGTTTCACTCTGCTGTATATCACAGACATACCAAACACCACGGGGACCCAAACAGCAGCAGATAAAGTAGAACATCTTAAAAAAACAATACTTTCAGTGTCAGAGTCATGACTCAATTCATGGGGTTGGTTGGCACATGTTGTGGGGATGGTTAGCATGATGATAGAAGTCCACAGTTTTAAAGAATTCAGCAGTAAATAAACAACAACAACAATAAAAATTTGGTGAATTAAAATGGTCAATATAAAAGAAATGAAATAAGTTTAGATAAAATCACACACACACAAACACACAAACACACACACACACACACACCATGAGAAATGACAACCAGCAGGAAATCACAGACACTTCCTGCTGACTCAGTCTAATGAATATGCAAATGTAACGACTCATGAATATTCAGTTAATAATTAATTGCGCCCTTGCAGTGCATTACTGAGTGTGAAACTGTGTCATCATTTTTAATCTTCAATATCCCTTTAGAACACAAATCAAAATCTACTGTAATAGTAAGATGAATGAATAACTGACTCTAAATGTAGGTATTGTGATATAAACTGAGTCTGTTTGACAGTTTCTCATTAGAGTTATTGGGATTTCTATCAGTCTTGTAAAGTGTGTCCACAACATAACAGTAGCTAAGAAAAAAAACACATATGTGGGTGGAGCTGGTGAGGGATTGTGTATGAATATTCCTCTAATAATTTAACTCTCTCTCTCTCTCTCTCCCTCTCTCTCTCTCTCTCTCTCTCTTCAGGAGAACATTAATATAGATGAAGCTGCTAACTGTTTGGTGAAACACATCCTTGCTAATGAGAATGATCTGATTCACACTGAGATTCAGGACATCGTTTCACCCAAACTGGAATCAGGACGAGGGTCTTCATGCTCCGGCTGCTTCAGGTCCTAGAGACCCCCAAAAGCCTGACAAATGCCCCCACATTCACTTATTCACAAAGTGGCTGCTTTGTTTCCTGCATTATGCTCAAAGTGGGAAGTTGAACTGATCAGATTTTCTTTTTATTAACTGTTTTAACACAGAAGTCTTTTCTGATTTCTCTCATCTTTAACTGATTAGATCACCTGCAGCTCCGTCACCAGAGCTCAGTCATTATAAACAGACTTGATAATATTAGTTTATCTTGTTTTTAATTGACATGTTCTGCATCAATGATAACTTAGCATGTAGATCTGAAATGAGGAGAACATTAAAACATTGATACTAAATGCCTTAGATGAAATAACGACATGAATCCAGGGGGAAGGGGGGGGGGTTCTTAAGGGGATATCATTCCCTTAAGCCGCCCCCTGTAGGCAGACAAGGTTCATGTTAACCTTTATGCCAGCTCACCTGGCTAAACAAGCTTATCTCTGCATGCCTAGCTTACCTAGCTCACTTAGCTAACCTAGGTCACTCAGTTGGCCTGCAATGTTTAAAGGTCAGGGGGCAGTTGACATGTTTCTGCTGTGCTTTTCCGCCGGGTGCTACCCTGCTGACAGCGCTGTGTATGTAATGTGATGTGACTAAAAATGACCACCGTGTGAATAACCTGAACCCCCCCCCTTCCCCCCCGCAGCCTTACAGCCCCCAGATTCACACAGAGTCAGCTCATTGTTCTCTTTGTGTGTGTTTATTTTAGATCAACCACAGTTTGATTTATCGCCAGACTGTCGCTTTAAGAGCTTTTTGTTGGTCACCTGATTGAGCTCTGTAGACTCTTAATGCTGATATTTAAAAATATGTATATATTTTGATAAATCATGTTTTTAATGAAGAATGTTATTTATCCAAAACTCTGCTGTTCTTAGTGACGTCATCAGCGTAATGTGTTTTATTTATTATGGTATGTGTTGTGATATTTTTTGTTAAACAGTATAAATGAAGCTATACAACTGTGTACATACTCCTGTGATTAAAGTGTTACTGTATTCAGTACATTAATATTACAGTTTAATGTAGAGAGAAAATAAATACTATCTTGCCTTCTGCTGTCAAGTTACTGTTTTGGAGATACATGTTTTCTTTGGACAGTGATTATGAAAGCATGCAGTTCAAGATGTTCTACACATATGCTTCATGAATATTAATAAATGAATGTTTTTCTATTATATACATATATATTCCACTTTATTAGGGTCCCTCTCTCATTTTCAGAGCAGTCTCGGTTCTTTGTGGTGTGGTTTCAACAAGGTGCTGAAATGTTCCTTTCCTGTAAAAATGAACGGATATTTGGAGGTTCCTTTTGGGTTCCTCAGCTTTCCACACTGACCGATCTCCATAAGGAGCCTCAAGGAAAAATTTTTGAACAGTGTGGTTCTCTGTGGAACTTAAGACAGCTGAGGCAAAATGCATGATGGAACCCAGTGAGCTCATTAGATGTTCCTGCAAGACATTGCCTTTTAGGGGTCCTTCAATGACTCCATTAACTACACTCTCAGAAATAAAGGTGCTAAACTGTCTCTGGGGCAGTTTCCCTCTTGTCACTGGGGTGGTTCCCTCAAGGGTCCATCTCAGTAACTTTAGTCAGGGAACTAAACTGTACCATAATCCACTGAAATGATATTTTCTAAGATGTACTGACTCCACACACCCCTTCTCATCTCCAGGCTTTTTGTTTTACTGCTGTGTTCCGCTTTGTTAGAACCCCAGCTCACTGTTTAACATTTAACAGGTTTAATGAGGAACTTGAAGCAGTTGGGTACAAAAAAAAAACAGGAAAAAAGTCCAAGTAAGACACAAATCCAAAACTCAGTGCTGAGTCAAAAAGCCAGAGACTTCATAACAAACAGAACAGAACAGAGAACAGTTAGAAAAAGACGAGGACGTGTAGCAAGAAAGCACTTCCTAGACTTCACAGTGAGATGAAGTTCGTCCATATGAAGCCCAATGATTAACACAAATGGTTGCGGGTCAGCTGAGAAAAATTAATAGTAGGGCGAGAGCGACCTCTGCAGGCACGGAGGGGAATGTTCTGGCATGAGGGTGATGATCAGCTGCACATTCATGCAGTCAATCTCCTGTTTCACCACATTCTCTTTTTTCTCCGCTCTAATTTGCAGCATATAGGGATCATGGATAGATGCTGGCCCTGTGAGGCCCCTGGACACAATAGTCTTTAGGGGACCCCAACAGTCCAACAGTAATGTGGAAAAAGAATGAGATGAAACAAAATGTCACATTTCTGTGCACTTTGATCACTATTAGGAATGTATTTTATTTTTGAATATGAACAAATGTTGCCTTATTCATGTGTGATATTCTACAGTCTGTGCTTTTTGTATGAAGTTTGAAGATTTTTATGTGAGATTTGAATCATTTTTATTTTCATTTCTTTCCAAACTGATTCCTACAGAACATCATTAACCAGTTAACTGAGAAGAAGTGATTGTCAAGCCTCTGTTGAAGTATCTGAAGAAGGCCATGTTGACGAAGCCCATGTGGTGGTGTTAAGCGTTCCTCCCAGGAACTGCCTTAGAAGGGCACTCCAGTTCAACCAGGTGTGAACCCGGTGACCCTCAGCACTGAACCACCGAAATCACAGCAGAAGATCTATGCGGGAGGGAGTCCTCAAGCTCTTTCAAGGTGGAGACACCCAGGATTCCTTGAGAATCTACCATCATCATTTTGTTTTGTTCATTTTGGTGTGTCTCCTAGTTTTGTTGGCTTATGTGATATAATGGCTCCCTATGACAGGGAGCCACTCGCACCATTCTCCCCCAAGGGACGAATAGTGGGCCCCAAATTTGGGCTTGTGCTCCCAAATTATAGTTTGGAGTCCACCCCTTTTTAAGGTGGGGGGCCCCATTGTTTGGCCCCCAACCACAGATTGGATGGGAGGGAGGGTTAAGCCAGAGGTTTGGTTTAGGCCCTAGGTTATGTTTGGGGTTTTAGAGTTAGGGCTAGTGCTGTACTTAGGCTTAAGATCAGGTTTAGGCTCAAGGTTGGTTTAGGGTTAGGTTTTAGGGCTTGGTTAAGGTTAGGCTTAGAGTTAGGTTAAGTTTCAGGGTTAGGTTTAGGGTTAGGGTTAGGGTTAGGGGAACATAAAATGACTTCCCCCATCAACTGTCATCAGACAGTTGTGGTTGGATAGGAAGACCAAGGGTAATGCACGGGCTGCCGCTTGTTAAGCAATGCCATCAGGCCTTCCAGTCCCTCTGTCTGGGAGTGAATCTCCTTTTATTTATTTATTTATTTATTTATTTGAAAATTGTTCCTAGTAGATATAGTTGCATTAGGGTTGTATTTACGTTTGATTCTTCCAACTGCATTGCAAGGCAAAGAACAAAGAGGTGAAGAGAGGGATGCGCCACTAGACTGAGCAGGGCACCCTCAAGGCCTGGCTTGGCCTATGTTTTTCACCTATTCATTCTCCTTCCCACAACAGCAAGTCAGAGAATGAACAGGTGTGGTACAGTATATTAATGAATTTTAGGACACATCATCAGTAGTGTACCCCAGAGTCATCGGGTGTTTCGGCCTTTAAACGCTATACACCCTCATCTGAGGCGGCCAGCCATAGGTTGCCCAATTCAGTTATGTATTTTGAATATATTGTATAAAAGCTAATGTATTTTTTATTTTTTTTTAGATAAATGCTGTTGTATTTTTGAGAATGCTATTTTTAGCCTTTTTTCTTTACAAAGGTGTACTTTTTATTGTAAACTGTGGTGTGGTGTGTGCTGATAGAAGACTGGGCATTCATTTAAGATCTGTTTGCCCCAGACCACCTTCCCTGCATGCTGTCCTAGTGGACCCAGAGAGGCTGAATACTTACCCCCTGCCCAACTGACCCTTTGTTAACACCGCTAGGTTGCCCAGATCAGCCAGACAAGGTCTGAGAATTTGGGCCTACTCTGGGTTAGGGTTGTTCATTAGGGTTAGGGTTAGGAAAATGATGACATGTAGGTCCAAAATTAAGGTTGGGATTATGTTTGGAGACGATTTCAAGAATGACACCAATCGATACCAATCGTATCACTGATTTCACCCCTTATGAAATGCTCACAGTGCTCCCCATGCCTTTAACATATCTCTTAGGGGGTACTAAAGGTCCTCAGCTCAAGTAATTACAAGCTTATTATGAATATGTAAAATGTTTGACTAAAATCCATAGAGAAATATTCAATGATGTGAAAGGTGCCACTGAGGAAAGAAAGTCAGATATTAGAGATCAGCTCAAACTAGTGCTACCCAGAGACTATGTCTACATAAGGGTCTTCAAAAGAGGCTGGACTGAACCAAGACGTGAGGATCCTTTCAAGGTGGTCTAGCAACTCCAACTGCGGTTAAAGTGGAGAACGAACCATTGTTCCTGAGCAACGCCTGTGCTGAAACCAGCGACTGAACAACCACCAGCCCAACAAGAACATGTCCAGATGATGACTCCCATGAGCCTGGACCAAGTGGAACTTCCAGACCCAGACAAGAGCCCATGCCCACTGAGAGACACCACCGGCACCACTGGACAGTGATGACGTGGACTCGGACATGGATGACACAAACATGAAAACACAATCGTCAACCTCTTGCTGTTGTCATTTGCTTTTTTCATCACTTGTGTTCTGCTGGGACTGACAGTGTGCATGTTCTACATGATATACAACCCTCCACACTGTCTGAAAAACGACTCATGTGCACACAATCAGATCCAGAACTCTCATAAGTGGATGAAAACAGCGGAACCGGAATACTCTCTAGCGTGCCAAACCTGGAACTTGACTAATGGCATGCACTGTGACAGTACTGTCCAATTACTAGCCAAAAAGTTTGCCATGGATTGCATGGGACACCGAATGAATTCAAGGTGTTGCATGAATGGACAGTGACAAAAGGAACATGCAAATGCAAATCAATCTTGCTGTTGTCAATGGTTTCCAGGTATTTCCAATTGTACATAAGAGCCTAATTATGTTGGACCAAGTG